ACAAGGTTGTCATATGAAAAATCAACTATGATACTAATAGGTAAGCTGCTACAAAAGTTATTAAAAAGTCAAATACTGGATCAAACACCCACATTTGTACTCAAGCAAAAAACAGCATCCCTCTGAACTTAACAGGCATGCAGAAATAAAGCTAACAAAAGAATCTCATTTTACCGATTTGTAATGATATCATCCCAGATGTTCATAGGATCCATTTTAGCATCTGGATATCTGCTTGTCCAGATTCTGAGAAGTCTCTTAAGGGAAGCCTGTGACGCTAAGTTACCTAAAATCATTTAAGAACACTTTAAAAGTATCTAAATCTAACCAGTGTGACAAAGCCATAAAACAAGCCAAACTAACATTTCAACCCCCAAAATGCAATAAAGCAACCTATTTGTACTTCTGGACTTGCATTAAATACATTCTTGGTGATCATATTACTTTTGTTTTTTGCTGAAGCACCATAGCTTCAATAAAGAGATCAGTGCCAATTATCACTGAAAATCATCACTGGCAGGTACCTTTCCATTCAGGAATTAGGTTAAATATAATAAAACCGTTAACTAAATTTAATGTATAATTAGGTTTACGTGCATAAATTTATTTCATTTCTACCACAGAAGATGTAGTGTGTAAATTATAGCTATCTTATCTCTGCTGATCACTATTGGCTAACAAAAGTGACCCCAACAAAAACCTCAGTTTAAGACTGCTACTTACACTTTTAAAGAGATGCTTAACTATTTTATTACAATAGCTGGGTAAATAAAACTTTGCAAAAGAACACAGAATTATCTTCAAGTCTGTCTTACAAAACTGTAGTAGTTCTCAAAAGACAGCAAGAAGTAATTCCAGACTCATGCTCCTTCAAACAGAAATTCAGTTCTCTAAGTGTGGAAACAGAAATTCAAAGTTGAGAAAACCATTATTATTTAATGCAAAAATGAAAAAAGAATAAAAGCTGAGGAAGACAAATCTTTACTTGTTTTGGTCATAAAATGGATGAAATCCTGTATTTCTGTCAAAGTTTGTACAGACTGCAGTTTGGTCATTCGACTCTGATGTAACAAAGTATCAGTACTAGAATAGCTCTGAAAGGAAAGGTAGAGAACGAAAGATTTCATACACAGAATTCACAACATTATTCTATTTAGTGCTCTACAACTATATATATGATGCTGCTATGCATTACACTCCACAACCTAACCTTTTACAGGTAATGTAGTAACCTTCAATCTGAGAGCAACTCTACTTTGGGTAAGCACATTCTAGCTGGAACGCCTGTCCTAGGAATTAGGATAGTCCTACAGGCTAAGGAAAACTTGGTAATGGTTGAAGCTTACACCCTCTAAATTTAATACTCTCTTTTCAAGCTTTTCCTGGGGGCAGTAGACTTCTGAAAGGATGAGCGCAATAAAATTGCTATTATCTGCACCAATAGTTACTCCGAAAAATTTCTAATAGGTGAAGTTATCAGAATAAAACAAATTAAAACAGGGAGGACGCACTCCACTAGTTGACTCAATTCTTGTCACTGCATTCACTGAAGTCAATGGATATTTTGTTATATGATTGGAAAGCATTTAGATCTCACTGTATTTGGGCAAATGTTTATCTTGAGAGTATAATCTAGCAGCAATAACAGCAACAACAGTTTTACTGTTCCATGAGTTTATATGGAAAAAAATCACATCAGAGATAGTGGTGATTGTTACCTGCATGAAGATCTGCAAGCCATTGCTTATGTAATATTTGGCTCTGTCAAAATCATCTTGCAGGATGTAAAGGAGACTAAGCTCTTGGCTGTAACGCATTTCTATAATGGCTTTCTTCTGTTCTGTCTTCATTGCCTCATCAATAAAAGTCAGCAAAGTCTGGTCATTTTCCCCATTGAGCAGTAACTTCAACTTACTGCGTATTATATATGGCAGATATGTCTCCTGCAGGGGCAGATGTAGATGATCAATTTTTTATTTTCTGTGACAGATCATATATATATAAAATGATATTTTTCAGTGATTTCTTAAGAGTTTTCCCTTTAGAGAGACTCCAGTTTGCCAACAAATCACAACAGACTTTTCTGATAGCCTCAAGAAGTTGTAAGATGCTTAGCAAATTCCATTAGTTTCAAAAGCAGTGGTTTGGCAACTCTCAAAATCCATGAAGAATAAAAGAGAGAAAAGCATCACAAAAACTGCAAGGAGAACAAGAAGTTAAACCTGGTGCTACACGACCAGTGATGGACTTGAGGTACAACTTACGCATCCATAAAAATAGGAAGAGTAATTGCTTCAAATTATTTTATCTATTAGACTCTCTGCTAATTTCCATAGGAAAACTAGTACAAATAACTATGTTTAACTACAATTAACTGCTATTACTATTAGCTATAAATTATGCAATTGATTCCCAGCCACAACTACATTACGGTAGGACATCTCTGTACAGATGAAAACAATGTAGTATCAAAAGAGTGATTTCTAGAAACCTGATAATACGGATCATTCCAAGTTTTATTTAGGTCTGGAGGTTGTCCACTATCAATATTAACGGTAGCACAATACTCCAGGGACTTCCACTCTGTCAGGTGATCATAGCATTCAAGAGATGCAAGTTCCCAGAAGTCCTTCTCTGCTTCTGTTGGCTCCCCATCTTGCCAGTCTTCTTTAGAGAGTGCCTAGAGAATGAATTTAAGGAGGAGGGAGATTCTCAGCTAGAATTAGATGCTAGTTTGAATTCTAAGTCACCAAGAACTTATTCAAGAGTAATTCATTATCTCAAAAATATTTACCCGCTTACCAGAATGTGACAGTAACATTAAATGCTGAAAATTTAAGCTATAGTTGGTACTTATATATAAATTCATTTCAGAGAGCCAGCGTCAGCAAACCTGCATTTTTAAGGAGTCAAGGCTTTAAAAGGAGGTTGAAGAGATCCATCTTCCATTTGTATCCACTATTACTCAAATTTTGCTTGCCACAAACATGTACAGTTTGCTCTCTTGGGGCAGTAGCATGCCCAAAGTCTTTTACCTGTCTGCCTAGGTCATTGCACACGCTAAGCTTTGTAACAAACAGTGAAAAGAAACAGTACCACACTCACTAATCTCTGTTGTGAATGCTCATTGCATCTGTTCCCCTACCTCTATAGACCGAACCATTGGAAAAACAGAAGGACATTTTAAGCTATATGCTGCTCCTCAAAATTTTTCATTTTGGCTTATTAGTATTAAGCAATGAGAAAGAATTTATGAAAGAGAAAAAAAAAAAAGGAAAAAAGAAGAAAAAAAGGAAGATTTTGGTGGGTCATTTTACCTCATCATAATGTTTAGCTGCTGTAGCATAATCACTCCTTGCTTCTGCCAGCAATGCTTTCTGTGTGATTTCCTTAGTCCCAATCTTACCACTGAAAATGCCACGAAGGACATCAGAATCTCCAAGAGATCGGTAGAGCCTAGTAGAATAAAAAAAGGCAAGCACTTTTAATTAGTTGAACAGAGCTACATCAATGCAGACATAAGCTACTAAAAAAAAAATCAGTAGTGACAGCAATAGCATAAGCAGCAGTCCAAGCTCTGCAACTGACCTGTAGCATGAAAAAAAAAGTATCACATTTCTTACATCAGATTATACATATATATATATACACATACATACATACATATATATATATATATATCTCCATGTAAACTTTATCTTGTAGGGGAACATCTAAATATTGGTCACTCCTGCGGCTGAAAAGCTAAGGACAAGATGTTTTTCATCAGTTTGATAGCACTGTCAGGGTGCACAGCTGTTAAGTCTGATTGCTCTAATGAAAGATAGTAATTAACTGACAAGAAATTAAAAAGAGACCTGATTCTAAAACAGGGAAAAAATAAAACAGAAATCCTATAAGCCATAAAGGCAGAGTTCTTCACAAGGCAAACGTGAACAGAAGTAAATTGTCTCAAACAAGAACTTACTTTGCAAGTTCAATCCATCTGATTACATCTGGGGGAAGCTCTGCCCTCCCACACACCCGCTTGGATGGAGGCTCCTCTGCAGGGGACAGAGAAATCAGAGCATGTTCCAGAAGAAGGATGCCCACTGGCTGTTGCAAACTTGCAAGGCAGCTCGTGCTCACATTAGCTGAATCAAGTTCTAGTAGCTCTCTGTGCTGGTAACTCATTTCCTATAAAACAAAACAACAGGTGCCTATTTGATCTAAAACTATACTGATAATTGAATTTTAAAGATCACCTATTTTGTATCCTTTTCGTAAAGCGCAAGCTTTGGAAATAAGCAGTTAAATCTCCGGAAGTACCCAACTCTGGAAAAACTGGGATGCTTTTTTTCTGTGCTGATGCTCTTAGGACAAAGAATAGTACAGAATAACCCCTCTACTTCATCCGTCTCCAGGGCTGCTAAAGACTGAGTTTACCTTGGAAGCAAGGAAATTAAAATTAATTAGAAATTAATGGAGTAACCCTGCATATAAATTTCAACTTGCTACTCCTGACCTACCTCCTAGACCTCCTTCTCTCTAAGGGGAAACACACTAGGAGTGGGAGAAAAGGAAGTAAACACATTCACAGGCAGAATCGCTCCTCCTTTTTTCTTTTTTGGTAGTGTGGTGCCCACTACACAACAGCTGCATTTCACTTAACCTACTGAGTGGCGTGTTCTTGTTATAAGCCAAAGGCATGATTAACTGTGATGTTTTCTCAGAGGTAGAGGCTTTCTGTCTACACACTTACCTAGTTTTAGCACACCACAGATTCCCATTAGACTCATTTATTTGTGCTCAAGTCCTGTCTGACTTAAAGGCAGGACAATGCTTCTAGCAGATCTTTATCCTATTAAACATCAATTCACTACAAAATAACTCCTTTTTCAAGGATAAATATTCTTGGTTACCTAAAGTTTATTTTAATACTTAAATCATTATTGCAAATAGATGTAAATATATCAAGAAAGTAGCAGACAAGTCCATTAACCCCAGGGATGTTTAGCTTAAGAACCTAAGGGAAAGCTGCAGTAACACTTCAACCAAACCAGAAGAAAAAGTCTACAACCTGGAAAAGAGGTAATATACATTTGTTACAAGAAACGGCACTGATTTTTAGGGCAACAGTTGCTTGATTCTTGCAATGCAGTATGTCCAAGAATACTGCATGAAAATTCACTTCTTGGAAACTGTAAACAGGAGATTATGTTTGTGAGAACAACTAAGCTATACTTGGGTGACAATGGCAACCACCCTGAAAAATGCAGAATGTGAATTTGACTTAAGCAGACCCATTATGCATTTTGTCTAGCTGAGACTCCCATGCCAGTTTTATTTGCACCCAATGAAAAAACAAGAACAGCAGCTCCTTGTAGCTTTCTGAGTTACGGACACATTGTATCCAAATGAAGGCTGCCTACATGCTTCATCTGCTATTCAGGCAATTTTCAACTAGCAACTTCTCTCAAAGCTGTACATGTGCTCTAGAAACTGCTACCTAAGGGTGTTATGTTCCTCTGCTGCCATCTCTTAGAGGTTATGCCAGGTTTGCCCTGCCAGTTCCACAGTCTCAAAATTTAAGAATAGCTATGCTGAGGTCAGACCAAAAGCCCATCTAGCTCTGTATCAGGGATGCCTACAAAAAAGTGTAAGAACTGGGCCAATATGTCCAGGGAATACCCTCCTAGACCCTTATAAATTACAAACATTGTTCCACATCAAAACTGATGTCTTTGTATTTAGTGACTGTTGGTCAGTATTAGCCTGACCACTTATCTTCTGAAAGCAGAGAGAACGTTTCTTGCTCCATATACAGCCGATGTGTTCTGTCTTTACTTGCATCACAGGTTCAAAGATAAGGAGGAACGGCATCCAAGCCGGCCTGATAACTAAAACATTTACATGCAATTTTATGTTCCTCAGAAGCCAGGTATCTCTATGGAGCCTATGTAAACTTTTGTCATGAGTTTATCAGGTTCTTTCTTTGTACTTCAGCCATTTTTTCATCTGTTGTGAAAGCCAACCCCTGAGCCTCAGAGTCAATTTTAAGATTATCCTTGTAGATTGTAATGGCTCTTTTTATCACCTAGTTATTCTCCTGATGGGACTTGAACCTGTAGACGATTAGAAAGTCATACAACCAGAAGGAAATGGCAGTGAAGTAGGAAGCCTTTCTGAAACAAGCCAATATTTATTAAACTATTGGTATACAGGAGGCAGAAGCTGTACTTCTGAATTGCCAAGCCATTAGGACAGCCTTTGTGAACAAAAGCGGTGGCCTCAGCATCACGTGCGTGTTCTCTCTCTCCTGATCAATATGAACTCTAATCCCTATTGGGGAAAAGACTTCCTCTTGCAGCTATGCAGGATGCTCATATAGGCAGAGTGCGCAGCTGAAGCTTGCCTCTGTGATCCTGTTTCTTGTGTTGTTCCATCGGAATGGCAATGAAAGGCTCTTAGCGCATTTAACAAGCCCATGCTTTTGACTAATTTTAACTCCTCTCTAATTTTTGACTCTTCATTTTTTGTCTATTCATGAAAAATTAGCCTAACATAACAATGTTATTAATAGGGTCTAATAACACAGTTCAACACAAATAATAATATAGTACAAAGCCTGAGAATGAAGAAACAGAAGTGAGGCATCAAGAGAGAGTATTAACAGATAACTATTGTCAGATGCTGGCTAGAAAAATACCAAGACAGCCCAGAAAAATCCCCATAGTATTTGACCTTTTATGCAGCTGCAGAGAAGAAAGTAAACAAGATACTACATTTTTTTCAGATGTGCAAATACAAGTGCTAAGCAGCAAATTGTGTCACTGTTTAAAAAGCTAGTTCTAACCAGACATTTCTCCTGCATTATGAATGACATCTACTGTCACAAAGCCTTTAAACTTCTGTAATAGAAAGACAAAACTAGCTTATCTGGCACTCAAAAATAGAGTATTTTGAGAGCCACAAATGACACAACATTAAGATCAACCCAGACAAGAAACATAAAATACAATGAGAATGAGCACGTGGCAGGGGCTTGGACAAGCTTTTTAATCTCTCTGATAGCTGGGATAAAAGATGAAGTTCACAAGCTAACGCGGTCAGCATAGTCCCACAGCATTACGCACAGAAGCAAAGGAGAAAGGCTGGTGGTCCCTTTCCAGCAGATATGGTCGTAGCACTCCCACTTGCTCTTTGGTGGAAACAAGTCATTCCCTCATGACTGAAAATCCCCAGGCAACTACTGCAGGGGAATAATTTGAAAAAGTTGCTGAAGAAATAAATAAGAGATGATAAAAATAAGCAGTCTGACAGCTACTGATATCCTCAAGACATCAAAGTATTCCTCCTTGCAGCACTTCCCAGAAACAGGAAAGATGGGCACCGCAACACCTACATAACCTTTTCAATTGTTCTCTCGGCTTTCATTTAAAATCAAGTCTCTTCCTGTTACTGATGCAATTAAAAGCATTAAAAGGCAACTCAAACTCTACAGAAAACGAATTGTAGAAATATTGAGACATCAGCTCAGAGGCATGAATTGCTCTGTTCACTTTTGAAAGAGTCACTTGAAACATCCACTTTGTTAACAGCTCTCCTTCCATCTCTGCCTAAATCCCAGTAACTGCATTTAACCTTCACCATCATTGGATTTATTACACATTGAGACGAAGACATTATGTTCAGCTACTTTCCTGTCATATAGCAAATTTACCTGGATGCATGCAATGAATGGTGGGAAATAAGACATGCTCATACTCAGGAATTGATTGAAGTCCTTCAGCAGCTGCTGGATGATGATTTTTTTCTCAGAAGGAGTTTTAGATTTTTCTACTTCACGCAAAATTCCAGTAAACAAACTGCTGAAAAGCTGCTTGGCAAATGTTGCATCTTTCTGCAAAAAGCAGAAGCAAATACAAAAAAACCCAAAACCAAAAGGTTACTAAACACTACTGTGACACGACAAACTAATGCATAAAATTAAGAGATATGAACCACTCCACACCTAATCCCTATGTAGATACTCTTGGGAGTGCACTGAGCAACTGCTCAGGCATAAATCATATCCATGCAGGGACTTCTTTCAGAGTTACTGATACATTCAAACCCTATCTTAATTCTTCTACATAAAGAAACACTAAGACAATGTTACTGGTTTCAGGTCAGAGCATTGGGGGAGAGGATGGAATGTACAATTTTCATATATTCACAATCTGCACTGTGAGGACCAGACACCCAGTATCATCTTATGGACACCAGCGCCAGTGAAGAGGATTTCAAAAAAAAAATAAAATAAAATAAAGGAAGATATCAACGTGTGGGGAAACCCAGAACCAACACTATGGGAGCTAACACAGAGAGATATGTACAGACAGATGGTGCCAGCTGAGGTTTAAAGGCAGTTATTCAACCTAGAAACACATTTGCAAATATACTATAATCCTATTCATCCTGGTCTATGGTAGAATGGGAGTTATAGGCGGAACGTTATTTCAGATAACTGATGATTGTGCTATTTCCTCCCTTTAAATAGAGATAAGGGATCACCAAAAGAAATTAAAGACAAAAGTAATCAGGAACACCGTGACTTCCCAAACATTGTAAAATCTGACAGTTCCAGCCCACAGTTTCTACTGTATCCAGGTTGAATACTGGATCAGCTTCACTGTCTAGCCTGAGTCCAGTCTTAGCCACAGCGACTTCACCTGTACTTTTAAAACCTCGCTATAGCCATATGAAAGAAAAAAAATGGCTGTTTTGATGCTATATAGTGAGATGCCCTATCCAATAACGTCTGTAAAGACCATCTTTGTTTCTTGAGCAGGGGAACCCAGACACAGTGGACAATAGCTGGTGTCTTAAGTTCTCAGCATTAAACTCAATTGCTCAGGTGAGGCCAGCTACAAAGCATCTTCTCTCATCACTGCATCACTGGGGTAGGAGGAACACTCTCCCTCAAAACAGACTCTTTAAAAGCATCTCATGGTGGTGAGTACAAAACAATAAATCAGTCTGGAAAGCAGCTGCTCAGCTGCACACCTTTTTCTTTACAAGAACATACAATTTCACAAATGACCTTTGAAAAACACACAGACCTGGGCAAGGCCCTGCAGAGGGGCGATCAGACTGCTGTATTCAATCTGGATGTCAGGAAGGTCTCCTACTCGGTAACTTCTGTACAAAATAACCTGGCCATCATGCTTCATCTTTAGCTCAGATTTCATCTCCTGAAATACATTGCTTATGTTAAAAAAAATTATGTTACTTCGAAAGACCTGTATCTAGATAAGACAAAACAAGCAAGAGCATTTTTGAAGTGTTTTAAAAAAAACTTTTGCCATGCTTATTAAACTAATACAGTTAGTTAGTATAAAGCCATAATACGGCTAACCCTAGAATGATCCTGGTCAATTAAAAACTCTTAAGCCTCCTATATGGAGTTACTTCATCAATTAACTTTCAATATTAATGCCTTGTAGTTCCTGTTTCCACACAGGTAGCATTTCAGTTATTTTTAAAGAGAACGGGGTGCTGACTGAAATCTAGTGAACAATTATGGTTTAGTAAGTTACTGCCTGCCAGCTGAGCCACAGTAATCAATTACTTGAGGGCTCTCAGCCTGCCCCAACTGCAAAGTAAAATTAGGTCACTAAAGCTAATGTTTTATTTCACACCGTGAATGAGGAGGGGAAGGAAGAAGGATGAATCTAGTAGAACTGATTCCTAGTAAAACTTAAACTAATCTGGAATAAAACTGCTGCAAACTGCTGTTAAGTAGCTGCCCTGTCTACTGCTGAGATTTAAAGAAACGCATTTAAACTGAACAAGAGCTACTGTCACATCTCGACAAAACCTATTGCTTCATCTTCCTTTTCACATCACTGATAAGTTTTAAGGAAATCAGCAGTTAAGTTTACAAGGTGGGTTTTTTTTTTTTTTTCCACTATTGCCATTAGCACTAAAACCAAGAGACCCTGGGTGAACATATACACTGGTGTAATGGAAGAGGGAAACAGAAGAGAGCTCAAAGATTTTTTTTCTTCCTTAAACCCTTCATTCTGCTGTTTGAGCCCTTTCATCTCCTACATAACTTCAAATGGATGATTTTCAAAAAAATTCCAGGAGTAATATCCTGGAAGACACTAGAGCTTTGCTAAAGCTTTTAGTATTTCCAAATACTTTTGTACTTTTTCCTGTTTCCCCATTAGGCATAATATTGACATAAGCCATTGAGTTACATGTCTGCTTACATGCAACAAATCTCTCTGCCACTCGGAAATTTAAGGGGTTCTGCAGCACTCATGGTCTCTTCCAGTCTTTAATTGTGGAACATCACAGTGATTTTTTCCTCTTTTACTAATTGCAAATACTTAACACAACCAAGAAATCCATACAGTACTAAGTTTCTGGTCTTGATAAACACTCAGCAAATGATTAATACCGACTTTCCTTCAGGTTACGAGTATGCAACAGTTCAGGTTACTCTATCAGCTGTTGTCTCATAGTTTTGAGTTTACCTACAGATAATGGATAATGTCCTCCAGCATTTATATCTGCAGAGTACTCCAGCTTCACGGCTTCTAATTTCCAGGTTGACAATTGTAAAGAGCTTCTGTTGTGAACATCTCTCATCACTACTATGGATTCCATCACATCAAATCACACAGTCATACACACTAAGTGAAAGACTGTAAGTGTCATCATCCAGGTCTTTTCTTGCTCATGCACATAAATAGCGTGATTTCCAAATTTTAAGAGCACCTTTTAAAGCTCTTAGCATTAGCAACAATATCTTACACATACCTTTTCTTCACAAAGTTACTTCTAGAGATTTAAGTACAAGACTTGCAGATGGCATCAGTACCTAAGGTTTTAAACTTGCTTTTGACTGACAAACCTTTTCTCGTTTCTGTTCAGCCACGCCTTTTCTGGCATAAATCAGACTGAGTTTCTCTTGGTCCTTCAAGAAACGCCTCCGCAGTTTTAGAATTTCTGCCCGTTCATCTATACCTAGGCATAAAAAGGAATAAAGTCTTACAACTTAATTCTGGTGAACACACGTTCAGGTCCACAGCTTTTCCCTTCTAAAACAAACTTCAGATGTAAGGCAAGAGCACAGTATAATAAAAAGAGTATTTGCTAGCTTACCAACTAGTCTCCTAAAGCTCCTATTCAACAACTTAATGTAAGGCCTTTCAATATGATGCTGAACTAAAGCAGTACTGTAAGTTACTCTTAGGAAAAGAGGTAAGCAATTATATCAAAACTTGAAGCACACAGATGCGGTATAGGGGTAAACTATTGTATTGAAAAAGACACTAAAATTCATAAAATAAATTTATTACATGGGGCAAATTTGTTTAAGATCCCCAAGGCAGGGATGACATTGGCACTATATTCCATAAAGCACATAGCTACCCTCAAAAAGGAGGAACTAAATATCTTGAAAGATTTGGGAATAATAATACCAATAAGTTGTTATATTTTTGAAGTTACTATTACAGAGCTGTCACTGGATCAACTCCCGCTCAGGACAGTCACGGAGAAAGACCGTTTCATGGACTGTTCATTTTAGTCCATTTCCTGGGTAAAAAAAGTGACAAAACAAAAAGGTACCACTATAACTGATATTTTGCTGGCAGAAAAAGTCTGAGCCATTGCAGAACAGTGCCAATGTTTTTCAGCTATGGAATGAGTGGATGAAGGAGCAGTCTCAGATAAGAGCAGATAATTCTACTGTCAAATTGCAATCTGTTGCAGAACGTGTCCGCATAGCTGAAATGATTTTGAAAAAAACGTTTACAACTTGTTCAGTTTCTTTAAAGAGATAAGCAGCTAAATTTAGAACACAGGGGACAGAACTGTCTGACAGTCATGCTCTGTTCGTCTTAGAGAGAGGGAGGAACACAAAGATCTCACTGGCGGGTTTCTTAGTCAGTCAGTGTTTTCATCTAGCAACACACAATCTTGCAATTCCTAGCACAATCCTAGTATTTTACTATACTTATTTAAAAAGTATCATCACATACTCCTGGAAACAAAGTCTCTGAAGTTGAACCTCCATTCGAATGTCTCCAGGACAATGGACGCCCAGGCAAATAAGTGACAAAAAAAAGTCTAAGAGAAAAATTATTAAATTATATTGACATTCCGTGACAAAGTCTACAGACCTTTAATTTTGCTGTCCACCTCATCTCCAGGCAAACCCAACCTTTTTTTCCCAAAATCTGGCCCCACTGGTTTAAAGGCTGATTGTTTAAATTTTTCACTCCGCTTGCTAACTAAGAGCATGGATGAAGATAAGGATTCAGAGAATGAAGGAACCATATATTCTGCCAAGGTATCGATGCTGTTTCCAGTTAGCCAATTGAAAGAACTTCTACCACCTGTAAAAACAATTACAGAGGACAAAAAATGATGTAACACATCAGTACATAGTCCAGGTGAAACCATCTACAAAACAGGTCATTTTCCTCCCAAAAGACATAATTCCCACTGTTTATGAGCTGAACAGATTTCGAGCCTTTACGTAAGAAACAAACTTCTTTCCAATTAGGTTGACAATAAAATCAAATCAAGCCAATAAAAATGTGTCTGTACATTTTTTTCTCCATTTACCCAAAATAATCCTTGAAAACAAATTTTTAGATGCATTTACACTTTTACAGGAAAAATACACATGCAATAGGAATGAGGACAACGGAATCATTCCTACAGCGAACAAGAAAATTTCAGAGGATACTGGTCTGGACTTACTGATGTTCTGGGTAGGTGTAAATTCATATTGCTGTTGGGTAACCCTCACTCGACCACCTCCTGACCCAGAAGTGGAAGGGGATCTTTCCTGTAATAAGCTCCTGTTGGTACTCTGAGAAGCTTGAGTCTCCACAAACAGTGGTGTGAGCACAGTACTTCGATAACGCCAGCTGGAATCAATTACAAAGTCCTATGAACACAAAAAGATCTTAGTAGGAACAGTACGAATGCCTTCCTTGAGACAGGATGGCTGAAAGGAAAGTACAGAATTTAAAACACCATCCCAGGTAAAGATGAAGAACTTGACCATAAAAGAGTGCATAAAAGCTCTGTACAGCTCAGCAAAAATCTCACCAATTTGTATTGGTCGGCTGACGTAAGTGCTACTAACTTATAACTCTGTTTCTTCACAGTTTTTTCCAGCTTACGATGCTTCTCTCAATTTCCCTCTCTTTTAAGCATTTCAGTACTCTATACATCACCTACACCTATTTTATATAATTATTTTATTTCAATCTTTTTTTTGGAAAAAAAGCAAAATTATTCCACTCCTAAAAAAAAATCAAACTTATGACAGCATGCATAAACTATGACGGTCTAGCTGTTAACTATAGAACAGAAGATGCAATTCAAATAATCGTCTTCACTATACCATTCTTATTAAAGCTGTAGTTACATCAAGGATTGGAAATTGTCCAATAAACAAAGAATAAAACATTACAATTCACCTGAAATTTGCATTCAGAAAGTGGATGCTCAAACATTTTTCTGGAATAATCTGGGCTCTTGCTGGTCATTTCAAGCAGAAAATTTGTGATTAGACTCAAGTACTGAGTTTCTATCTTCGTAGAGTAGAAAGAATTTAACAATGCCAGCATGCGATCAAGAATATTTGCTGGTAACCTTGTCTCATCACTCCAAAAATTCCTAACAATTAATCTGTAAAGATAAGGAATAAAGTTATCCTTGGTTGTCGGCAAAAAGGAAATACGATACTGTAGATACGCATGACACAAAAAAAGGCTGTTAAAAAAAAATTATAATACTGTCACAACTAACACTTTCACGCCATGAACTGAATTACATCAAATTACACTGAATTACATCAAATTCCACACTCATCTCCCACTCTCTGTGCCATTTGGTTGACATTAAGATGATTTACTCTGAAAAAATGATTTGTATAGTTATCGTCTCAAGAAGTGCTATCAGTAGACAAACACATAGGTCTCTTTTTCTAACTTCCGCTTCACCAAAAAATTCAATAAAAAAAAAAATCCAGCATCCTCCAACACTGAATCTATGTCTTTTGGACTGCTTATATCAAGGACTTTGTTGTTATTTGCAAACTCTAAAACATTAACCCAGAATTAGGTCTAACAGACTTAAACAACTTCTCCCTGGCGTAAAGGTTTGTCCAAAAGCTAGTCATGGTTTTCAGTATTCAACTATTACAGTTTAAATTGTGTGTGGCATACCGGAACATAATTTTATAAATTAACAACATGCCTTATTGGATGAAAAGGAAATAATGTTATCTCACTGTTATTCCTTTATATTAAAAATATTTTAAAAACCTCTAGGGATCAAATTGGTTGTAAACAAAGAAAGAAAAATTTAGGGATTTGTTATTTCACATACACTCATGTTATATCACATCACGGTTTACTCACTGCAGTTCAGCATTCTCATCAGTCAGCCCTTGAAGTAGGATTTCTTTCGCCAGTTTGAGTACTTCCTGAGAATCACCATCTGCTTGGCTTTCTGGATCACTGATGTGAGGGGGAAAAGGTCTCTTAATGACTTCTCTCTCAAATAATTCATAGTAAAAAGACGACGATAAGGAGGAACACGCCCTTCTCATAAAAATTTCAACTCAGCATGATAACGTTGCTGTTTTTTTACAGCACGAGGTCCTCACTGCCAGAAATGTCTTGTCTCTCCAGTACTTAGAAAAGTAAAAATCAGAAAGCTAACCTGTTAGTTACTTGTTAAAAAGTCCCAGCAGAGGCAGTGCTGCAAGGATAAAACTGAGCAAAACGTAGACTGTTACCAAGTGACACTGCAGTAAAAATTGCTTGTACTTTTTCTTCACAACAATCGTCCATTCAAATAACTATCTCGGGTAAAGGCATACAACGGAACGCGAATAAGTTACAGGATATAACAGCAATCTCCTTGTCAAACTGAGTGCACACTTGCTCTCTACTCTATAAACAGTGAAATGATTAACCTCAAACCACCACGAGGTTTAAGTGGCCATCTTATGGGCCATTTTGCAGTGGAAATGAAGGACAGACTTCTCTAATAAACATACCCTGAGGCTCGTAAGAGAACACCCTTCCCAGATACTATCTCACTCCTCTGTGTGAGGCTACTATACAGAATGTGACATGTTGATCAGGTTAGACAACTTCACTTTGCATTCCAGTAAATTAGCTTAAACTTCTGAAAAGCTAGATCAGTTTTTAATATTCTAGGCTGCCCACTGGTAAACTGAAACTGAAGAACAGTTGCTTTGCAACAGCTTCCGTGAAGGCAGTAAACTCCACTGAAGGGATGACAGTGAAAGCATCTCTGTCTGCAAAGCTGATGGAGGACATCTGTCCCGAGAATACTACACAGTTACAATGTCTGTTCTAGTGGGTAGTAATTTGCTGCAACTCAGCTGTCTTCAGACCTGTTCCTATACCTGTACTACATTAACTATCTGTCTGAGGCCATAGTAGCATAGCTACAAAATACTGCCGCTTAATAAGCGATTGGCAACTATGTGCTCTCAAAGACAAACGGAGAACTGATCTAGACACAATGTATTTCAAGCCTTCTGTTCTTGAAGAGTAAAAATATGTTCATACTACGAGAGTGAAGGTATCTGTATCACACCGAGGCACCTTAATATACCTTTTACCTACAAGCAAGTTTCTCTCGTGTATGGTTCTTACCACAGTTATAAATTCTGGCACCAAGAAAAAAAATGAGAACATCAGAACTAAGATTTCTTATGCCATCATGCTGTGGTGATACAACATTCTAGTTCCGGACTGAAGTTCAGATCCAAGTCTTGCCCCTTAGTGGAAATTGCAATCAAATGCTAGAGCTACAGAGGCAGCCCACAGGAGCTGTTCACTCTGAGAATGGGAAAAACCCACACTGAGGGACACTGAGCTGTAGGAAAGTGTTAAAAACACTTTCACTCTCCTTGTGAGAAGCTACTGAAAGACAATATCTGCACTGAATACACACCTGTAGTTATCATAAATCCACATCAGAATGTCATACATGCGCTGTCGACATATTACAGTAGGGTGAGAGATGAACCCCGTTACTCCAGGAAGAAGTTCTTTAAGTTCTAGTGGTTTTAGCTTAGGTAGCATCTTGTACACTATATCCAAACAAACTCTTTGTCTTTCATCATCCCTAAAAAGAGAAAAAAAAGAATAGTTTCCTCTTCATTGCTACACACAGAAACAAAAGGTCAGTTGAGGTTTTAGTGATACTTCTTTTTGCCTAAAGGTTTTTAGGTAAATGTTTTTGAGCCTAACTTAAAAAGCAAGGCTGTAAGTGAAAAAAATACGTGTTAAAGATGAAATTCACATGCCAAGGAGTGGGAGCTGGCGTTTCAGCTTAAAGTTATCCAGGGTTTTTTGTTTGTTTTTTTTCCACAGTGAGCAAACTATCTTATGCCTAACTCCCAGATTCATATCTCCTCAAATTAGGAGAGTCATGAACAAAAAAGGGAACACGAACTGTGAATGTATGTGGACTGTACAACTTTTGTGATCACCACAAAGGATAAGGTTTAGACTATGTACCCACATTTGTAATCACATGACCACTCACCTGTGATTCATGATCTGGAGGAAGTCTTTACTCTTTAACTGCAAGTGGAGATCAGTTATTTCCTCTGCCCGGCACATTATTACTTCCAGACAGTGTGTTTTCATCACACCATGAAGTTTGGGTATCAGAAAGAACACTGCACTCATAAACCTTAACAAGACCAGAAACCCACAAAACAAAAGCAAATTATTTTCTATTAATCTTCTAGATCTATAATGAATATACCACGTAAGTCATGATGTACCTGTCAGCAAGAGGAGGAAAACTCTTAACAACTTTACTCAAGCACTGAATAAATTTATCCTGTTGGGTGTTCTGATGATGTTTTAATTGCTTTATGACACAATCGTAAGCTGGATCTTCAAGTATCTAAAAAATGAGAAAGACAGTAAAGACAAGTGTAGCCACGAAATCCCTAACAACCTAAGCGATGTATAGTTCTGCCGTTGCATTGTTCCTAGTGCATTTTACTAGGTGACATTGACCTGCCTCATCTTGACATCTACAGCACTTCATAGCAGCTGTATAGCTACGCCTGGCTGAGATACACGATTGCCTGCTTTTTAGCATTTGTAAGCTTCCATTGATAGGGTTGAGACCAATGCCTTAATTCTGAAATAAAAATTTTGTGTGGTATCCTTACATAAATGGTGAGAGTTTCCTATTTGGTATGGCAGACTTCCCATTAAAGAATGTAAAAAAAAAAAAAGATATCTTTAGTGAAAAGGTGAAAAAATTTAACATCCATGGCCATTTGTATTTAACGTTAAAGAAATAACCTTAAAACAGGATAAAATATTTGCATCGTCTTTGTTGACTTATTCAAAATTATGGCTTTTAATGAAAAGAAGAACTCAAAAAACTGTAGGAAAGAAGACTGCAGGAATTCAGTTTATGAAATATGCTCCATACATTGAGAAAAAACAAACAGAAGGCAATAAAGTGGAGAGGGAAGATAAGTATATAAAATACTCTGCAAGGCCAGACTCATAATGCACCTAGCCAGTAATCTAGTATTTTGCCTCCAGAATATGCTGGAGATGATATTTAGGGGGAGCACATAAGCCTGGCCAGACTCTGCTTTGTTTCTCTCATAAACCCCAACATCCACAGTCAATATGTTAGGGTTGTTAGAGCATTCATCATTGCAATTATCATGCAATTGCAGGTTTTGGTTTTTTTGGCACAAATCTGCATAATTTCTCTTTGAACCTTGTGAAGCTACTTACCTCCAGAACCTGCTGTGGCAACACATCCCACAAGCTCACTAACTGCTGCGTAAAGAAGAACTTCCTAGTATCTATCTTAACCTGATTTCTGTGAATTTCAGTGTCTGTCTCCTACTTCTGCCACTGTGGGATTCGGTGAACAAGAGTTTTGCACCACCTTATCCACTACCTAGAAAATAACTGGATTCACTATTCACATATGTTCCACAACAAGGGTTCAAAATTAAACATATCAGCTTTAAGTCTAAACTTGCAAGCTCCTAAACATCCTCAGGATACAGATATTCAAAAGGTAGTCCCAAATCTCCAAACTTTCAGTGTTCTGTTTTTCCTAACCTTAAAGACCAGAAGTATGGTATTTTGGGCCTGTAGTTAGCCTGGTCTCAAATTCTCACCTTCTTGAGGTAATAGTTTATTCTTTAACTTGATCAGCTGGACAAAGACTTTTGAGTTTTAAGTATTTTCATTTTTGGAGCAGAATTGAGCAGTCATATGAAAGATGGACATAGGACAGGAATGGTCAAACATGCAACACGGTGCACTTACGTTTTCTCTCTCAGCAACGTATCGAAGAGCGAGTCCCAACACTTCTGCCGCAGCTGCATAAACTTCTTTATACTTTAATAAGCCCATGTTACTGATCAAAGCCTGAAAATACCTAGCACAAAAAGTAGACCTGCTGTAAGCAACTACTCCACCATCCAGCTTCAAACTTAAACAAAAAAAAAAAATCACTTGAGTTTACTAGGGGAACGGTGACTACTTTTAAAAGAGCTGAATGCAGCGCAATATGGATTTCCACCTGCAGCGTCTCAAATCCCTACCTTGGCGGTTCCTGACTCTATTGATTCTTAAGAAAGTGCAACCCTGGGGCACACTGTAAAAACGCCTACATCCTTCTAGATATTTTCCAAAATAAATGGATTCTGCAGTTTGCAGCTAGAAAAGCATTAAACAGGGCAGAGACTAGCAAAGGGGCGATGAGACAACAGTATCGAGTAAGTGAACAGCCCAACTCCCACGCTTCACGCTGACAAATCAGAATTGCTCCTTTCGTCTTAAGCTTCTACCAAAATTCACCTCCCAAAAAGCTGCGTTTCTCACCTGACACGGTCTATTTCACACTTGGGGTCAAAGGGAGGTAAATCATTAGCAAGAACAATGCCTAGAAGCTGAATTCCCACAGAGTTGTCCTTTGTATTGGGATCGCCACCAGAAAACTTTTCAAATATCAAGCTGTTGCAAAAACACAGAAAAGTGACAATATACATAATAAACCCAAAATGCACAAACCATAACTCTATCTTTATACACATATACCTACCCCACCAAAAATAGTGGAAAGTATATATTCATAAGCAAGTAACTAATTAGCCTCATAAAGAAGTATTTGTAAAAGAAAATTCAAAAAAAATGTTTGTAAGCCCACAAAAATTCTCTGCAACAAGCTCATGAGGACAGCAAATCACAAAAGTCTTACTAAGCATGCAATGACAGGTTATATTCAGTGACAAAAACCAACAGTTCAAAGAAAAAATAATCTCTTTGCAGAGATTACACCTACTTCTGTCGTTCTTGTCTTAATCCTCTCTACGTTTTCTTTCCCTTCCTTCTTGCTGTTTTACAAATTAAAATTTGCAGATTCCCCACCTTTGGGGAATTCTGTTCTGAAGTTTTATGGTCTACTCGAGGGACAAAAAGTTTCACGCTGCAGCTGAATTTACCTTTCCTTCTCCCAGATTCTTTGGGCATGTTCACCTACGTTTTTAAATATCGATACAAGAAGGTAATTGGCTAAATGACTACCTGTAAGGTATGGAGAGACAGTTCTTCCAGCATTCTATAACTGTCTTTATGATTTCCAGATTGTGTCTAAATACAGCTCTTTTCGGGTGAAAGGCATTCTTCATCAAGAATTCAAGCAATCTGTTAGCTAGAATCTCATCCTTAATATTCCCCTACAATAAATGGGAGTGAAAAAAATCAACATAACGATTCCAAAACAAACTCATATATTCTGTTTATTAAAGCACACATGTAAACATACTATTTTTAAGAAGTTAATAGCTAAAAGAAACAGCTGGCTGATACAGAAAATGATTACACATGCACTAAAATAAACGCATTCAGTCACTAGAGCAAAAATGAATTTCACATTTTCTTACTTTGGGCGTGGCTACACTTGTCCAGGAGAGGAGAGTAACTACTATTTCCACTACCATGTAATGAATTCCTTCACCTCCGTTATTCCCAGAAACAACAAGCTGCAGCAATGGACCAAGCCACTGCTTTGCATAAGGTCGGAAAACCTATGGAAAATGGAGAGTCAGCAGTCAACTACAAATTAGCCTAATATTCAATAATTTGTTGTTCAGTAATTGCTATCTCTTTGCTATCTCTTTTCAGTAACTGCTCTATCACTTTGCTTAACCCAGTCCAAAGGGGTAACTACAGAAATTTTAAGCTCACTTTAAAATAAAAAGGTCTCCATAATTGCATTCCTCACCTCTGCTTAGAATCATTTAAGCAAGTATTTACATTAAGTGAATTATTTCACTAAGGCCCACATAATACAGCTTTGTAAGAGCTTTTCATGCATCAAATCTGTCCCTATAGGACTTGAAAGGGTAGATAAATGGCATACTCTTTCCAATTTCCATTTCAAGAGAGCTTTACTGAATTTATTCTGAAATATAGCTTTTCTACATTTTAGATTTGGAATACTGCAAGCAGAAACATTATACTTGAAAACCACTGGGTGCAATAGGACAAGAACATTTTACCCAAGAATAAGAGGGTTTTTTAAAATTACTTACGTCCTCAGTATTAGCAATAAGTTTTGCTATGAAGAGGCGAATGTTTAGTGGTACTGATGGGTTTCCTAATTTGCCATGCAGAAATTTCATCCAAAGAGGAAGGTCTACTGGAACTGTTCCCTGAAATCAAAAAGGGAAAAGCAAAAATCAACTGACTTCTTGAATCAAACAGGCTTACCATTCAGGTTTCATTATAAGATAGCCATGGAAATGACAAAACAAAGGGATTCAACTGTGACTCCCTTTCTTGGCATAATTAGTGAACAATGCCAATCTTCTGGTTAATACTGACGTCCTCCACTTTGGGTGTGATCTGGTTTCTCTGCATATGTTTAATCAGAGTGGTCATAGAAGCCATACACTCATGCTGATTGAGTTCATCCATTTCCAGTTCTGTATCATCATCTAAAGCCATGTATTCTGTGGGCTCCTGAAAAAAAAAGTTACTGTGATTAACTAACCACACACACTGTGTCTTCTTTTAAATCATGATAATGCCATGCGTCATTTGGATTTTATCTGCATTTACAGACCTGACTGCTCAGAACTTGCAACAGGGAATCAGATTATCTGTTTTTCAAACAAACATCTCCCAAACATATACACCAGTTGTGCATAGCTTTTACTTTCTGTGCCAACAGACATCAACTGCACGTTGTTCTGACTTTACTACCTGTGAGGATAGGGGTGGCAACTACTTGAAGGAGAAAGGGTTAGCTGAAGCTCACGGAAAAGGTTTCATTTCAGAGCTGAAAGAATGTGCCAACACTTCCCGTAATGCAATTTACTTATGATGCAACTCCCAACTTCCAGTTTTAGCCAGAACTTCACACAAAGTCCGATTTTTATGGACATGTTTCCCCCTGACTAGCAACCACAGCTGATATCTCTTTTCACACACAGAGTAAAGCACAAAATAAAACAGTTGTCTGCAGTTAGAAAGGACATTATTACACAAATCAAATAGAAAATACATTTCTGGCCAACTTCACTGCAGTGAAACACTTCCCTTGCTGCAAAACATGGAAACAATTTATCTTATCCAATGTTTCCACAATTATTTTGACAGATTTCATCTTCAGTATCTATGACACTTTTTACAAGCCTTCCTTCTATTTTATTGCAAATATCTATTCTTTCAGTATTACTTTTGATGTGATCTCTTTTGACTGCTGAAGGAACACAACCTCAAGTCTTCGAAGATTATAAATGCTGTTCTTTTGACAGCGGCAATTAAAGATAAGGTGCCATGATAGAAATAAAAAATAATAATCTGTTTGATCATTTATTCCATGCATGTGATGCAATCAGCTTGCTGAAGACCAAAAAGAAAAGGGAAATGAGGAAACTTTGCCTAAGACCAGCAACACACAACCATCATGGGAGACTCCTGAGCGCACACAAAGCACACCTTTCTTTACAACTCGGGTTGGACTTAAAGATTAAATTCATGTCTCATCTTAAGAATGCTTGCAATATTCTAAACTGCACTCACACCACTCAACTTTAGAAACCCAAGGTAGGACATGGTTTTTCTTCGCCTTGCTGTGTAGTCAGCGGAGAGAGGGAAAAGGACAACTGACTGAAGGAACACAGCTTAAGTCCTCTCACTCACCTGCTGGAGGAACCCATTCTCCATCAAGTACAATGAATATGGGAGACAAGCCCTTTCACTTAGGCACCTTTGAACTTTGGCAGAGTGAATATTTCAGTAGGTGACTGACTTTTCTTTGTCATTTGATAAATTTATTAGAAACAGTTGAACAGCAAATCCAGTAAGACTAACAACAAACAATCTTTGCTTTTTAATTTATTTTTTATCTCTGAGTCTGGAAAAATATTTGAGGGTCAATATTGACAGATCAAACAAAAGCTCTTCCTGTTAAACTTCAGAATTCCCACTATCATGAACAGATTGCTTTAGAGAGCAGCTGCTCTCCACTTTATTGTCAAGGAACCTTTCATACTTCTCAGCATGATACACCTTTGAAACTTCTACTTCTCAACCCTAGTAAACATATGCAATTGCTAGAAAGCATAAAATTTTTCCTCCTCACAGCACGTAATTCACTAAATTACCTTCCTCCTGAAACGAGGACTGCTAGCTGTAACATCTTGGGAGCTGTAAGAAAAACCTTGGACTCCAGTAGAAAAGTCAAACTGGCTCATTTCCTCACTCAAACTGCTATCCATCATGTATGATGCAGAAGGTAAATACTTGGGCTCATCTAAATAGGAAAAAGAACAGACCACTCATCAAGGTAATCAAGGTTTACAAAGAAACAGATCTTTATTGACCACTGAGACTTGGCGTGGCTGGGAATTGGTTGTTAGACAAAGTACAGTGAACGCTTTTATTTGTTCCTGGTACTGTAGGAGTCAATTAGCAGTATGTCAATAAATACTGCAGGAGAAGTAAGAAGAGGATTTTTTTTTTCATAGTCATAAATGAGTATCTTACCCTCATTCCCATTTCCTGAATCCCTGGCTTCCTTTCTAATAGCTATATACCGCTTCTTCCTTTCCAGAGGCACCTAAACAAGAGCAAGAAATAATGTTTGAAAATTAATTACATTTTTTTTAATTTACAGTATGACACTTCAAACTTGCCAAAAACGGTCAAAACCATTTAACATGAATGGAAGCTCCATGCTATAAGTGATGATTACTACTCATTACTGTTAGAGTATATAACAGCCGAACGACTTATTCCTATAGCCATTCATCACCTGAGTAAGCGTGCTAAACGGTATATTAAAGTTCTGTGTATTGCAGTTGTGTTCCAAATTTCAAGTCTGGATTTCCCTCAAAAAAAAAAAAAGTATTCTAAAATATTAGAGGAATACTCCATTTTTATTCGCTTTCTCTGCCTGTGAGAAATGACCAACGTACAGTGACTACTCTGTTAAAGTTGTACTCATTTTTCACTTAGAAGCACTAAAACCCAGAACTTCCACTCACCTCAACTTCTACAGGAAATGAATACTGACGTTTCAGGTCTATCAAGTTTTCAAAAATCAGCAAGTTCTGCAAATCAAAGAACATTTGGCAACATCAGAATTATAATGCTGCACAAAGTAACCGTCGCTCTGAAAATATTTTATTTCTTCTTAAGTTACAACAGTTCAAAGTAAAATATGGAAAATAAGGCATGTTTGCTCTTTTAGATCAACTTTTAAGAAATGTTTTCTGTATAACTAGTCAAGAATTCAAAGCACAGGCAATGTGCTTTGCAAAAAGGGTATCTCACATATTCAAGTATATGCCAAGCAGTGGAGAACTCAGATAATAGGCGTTTCCTTGTATTTAAGAAGAGTGACTGAGAGTGGAGGGAAAACAGGGTAAATGTTTCCTTCGCCTATTCCCAAACAGATGGTACAACCTTCATCAGCAATTCAAATGCCATAAAGGATCCAAGAAAGTCAGCTACTATTCCTCCAACTGACTGTCTGGGTAGTTCATCATATAACTGCATGCCATTCAGGTTTGATTCTTGGATTTATTGCAATCAAGTGAAAAATCAATCTCATGCTCTGGAAGCCCTCTATCAGCAATAATATCTTCTCACCTTTTCTGTTTTTTCTGTAAAGAGAAAGCCTTGATAAAATTTACTCTCAGTGAAGACACAACTGATAACAGCAATGGCACAGTTATATGCTGCACAGTGATACTGTCTCCTCTTTTCCAGCAGCTGACTCTCCCCTGCCATGTTTTCTGTAAATGCATCATAGCACGACCTTAAAATAAAATCAGGCAAGAAAACACCGTCAGAATTTTTTTTTTTTTTTTTTTTGAGAAGCACAGGAAAGGCCCCAACCAGAGACCAGTGAATCAAAAGAAATTTCAAGAGAACTTTATTATTACAGCAGTAGCAGCATTAAACCACCTCAGATAGCTATTCAAGTTTTTATCAGGAACATTGCACTGAAATGGCAATAATTCATCAATGACAAAGCCAACTTCAGCTGATATTTACACAGCCATCCTCAATGCCAGCGATGCAATAGCTCGTTTTCAGATAAGATGGAGATATGTTTCAACTCAAACATAAATATCTCTTATAGTCCTTTCCGAGAAACTTATCAATGGACAGGCAGGCTAACCTATGTTTTTGATTAGCCAGAGCATACCAGTTTAGATGCAGTCTCTATAGATCTTTTGCCTATAGCCACTTATAGATCCTCCACAAATCATAGCCAAGATATTCTTCAAAATCCTTATTAGGATACAATATTATAAAATAAAAACGAACAGCAAGTCAGGCAATCTTTTATGTTTTTCAGAATATTCAACAAATGAAAAAATATTCACTAGCATATACTCAGTATTCATCTTCTGTCCCCTACTACAGTGGTGATTAATCCAAATTATACCTGCTGGGCTTGCTGTTATATTACAAAATATAAATGAAAATCCATCCCATCTTCTCACTGATTGTGTAAATACCTACATCTTACAACACAGAGCATATTCATGTAAACAAGCAAGTATACTGAAGCCAAAATAGTGAAGACAGTTTAAAGGCAGAGAACCATATTAACATCAAAAATAAAAGGCATAAGCTTAACAAATGTAAAAGAAACATCAAAAAGAGGAGGGAGAAGTTACTCTGACAAAGCGTTGTAGCCTACGTTCAAGATCATTCTAACAAGGCAAATTCAATATTCTGTGTTCCAATTTAAATCAGAAATTATAGCACAGATTAAGCTTATCCTTGAGCAAAGTAAACTCCTGCTTTGAATAGCATACTTAAAGAGTATCTGCCCAGAACCTAATAAGAAATTATACAGAAATTAAAGAAATAAAGTCTTACTTTATTAGTGTCTTGGTAAGTTCATTTCCTTCTACGCTTATGGAGCCACAGTAAGCTTGGTTAATTTTAGAATCCTTGGAGTAAACATCCTCTTTTGAGAGACGTACATACATCACTTCTAGCACCTTGTAATACCCCGTTTTCTTGGTGACTTGTGTATCAAAAGTAGATTCATTGGACTGGAAACAAATAAGCAAAACCTCAAAAAGATTTCCTAGATCTTGCCCTTGCTACATAGCTCCACAGTTACTCTAGTTTCCACTAAGCAGACTACAGCTTTCTTCCATCTTCTAAAACAGAGAAAAGAATTGATGATAATAAAAGACTGATATATTCTGAGTTCCTGTGTAACACATTTATTAAAACTGTGCTGACCTGCTCCTTATAACTTTCTAGCTACAATTAGTCTAATTCATTAGAGTGCTATTAGCGTAAAACAAGCAGGATGCTGAATAACGGCTCAAATTTGGACATTTGTAGGCAAAACACACAGTAGTAAGCCTAATACAAGGATAGAAATGTGCTTGGTAATAAAAGGAATCTGTCTGTCTGAACTGTCTCTTGTGAAATAACAGCAATTTGGGGAACCTGACTAACATATGAAGTTCCTTACTACAACAGTAGCTGGAAAACACCTGTCCCCATGAAAATCAGGATGGATTACTGAATATTAATAAAGAAAGATTAAAAAACAAATACAGTTGATAGACAGCTAAAATAAAACATTGTGCCACTACTACTACCATTGTTTTATAGAATGCACCAGTCAGCAAGCACACTGGGCATTATTCACGAGTTTCTTTAAGCACCTCACTTCGGTGCCAACATAAACAGCAATACAAACATGCTGGGGGTGCGACTGTACAGAAGTGTGTGCTTTCCTTTTATTACTATTATGAACTCTGGATCATTTTAGTGTCCTGTTTGTGTTGCTACCATTAAACAGCTGCATCAGTAAAACCGAGGGAGTGGAGAACCATAGCAGGAGCAAGAGATCTCCCCTGACAAAGAAATCATAGAAGGTAACTATACCCTAAGCTGGAGGACAAGCTGAAAATGGAGAAAGGGAGGTCTCTGCTCCTAATCACTTGCTGAAGGATCTTTGCAATGATTACAAAATCTGATTCTTTCTCTGCAGGTAAGGGATCCAGTTTAAAAGCCTTCATTTCACAGGCCAGATACCTCTCCCCTACAATGTAATAATAGGCTACAATTTTATACACGTTTTATATTTTGAAGTTAGAAATGGCTTTTGCCTTTGACAGAACTTTAGACCCCTTCAGACATATAGGGGTAACATTCCAACGTCAATTTTTATACAAAGTAGATATGATAACATAACAAACTTTAAAGCAATAGTGTGTTAGGGAATAAAGAAAAGCATCCCACTGATAAGAGGAATCAAACTACATAATCAGCACAGACTTCTGCTCTGAGATAAAGAAATCTGGAAAGCAAATGGTTTCAAATATAGCATTTCACTCCAAGTTAAGGAAAATGAACATAGTAACACCAGCACAGTAACAAACCAATCATTAACAAAAAGTTCGTACCTTTGTAAACCTGGAATTAAGCGTATCCATAGCTTGCACAATAATCGTGCCAAAAAATTCTCTCAGGGCATCCAAGCTGCAGTGCAACAATAAAGTGAGGAGGGAGCGATCCACAAAAGCTTGGCGGGTAACATTTGAACGAAGGTCTTCACTCTGGAACATTTTGTGAACAGTGTCCAATAGCACCACTTGTCTGTCGCTGTTACTCCTAAACAAGACGGGAACCTCAAGGTGAAAATACTTAACAGACTGCATTTACATTCTGAAACTCCCTAACATCTAAAATTTTTGTCTGCATTCATACCTACTTAGGTTATTATCCTACAAGACATGCAAGACCAGGTTGAATCACCACTTATTGTGGAGATCTCCAAAGAAAAGCTCTGCTTCTTATTCAGCAATAGATGGTACACTTGTTTGCATGTTACTGTTAGCTTAATCCCAAAGCACGTCATTAGATATGATATCACTTTTCTTAGCTCAAAGTATCTCTCTGAAGAAACGAGAAGAAAATGTTTACCACTATGGTCATGAATGATACAGATTAGGGAACTGGGACACAGGTATTAATACTCCATTAAGAAGTTTAAGAAATTAAATTTTATTAACAGGTGACGGCCACATTTTCAACTTCCTTACTCCACCACCTGTCTCCTAAAATACAGTCGGATGATATGCTTTCAACATTTTTTTTTTAAGTTCCACAAGACAGCTAAGCACTATTACAAAGATGCCACATTTCACTTCAGAAAGGTGCCTTTCGTTAACAGATGACAAAAATGAGATAAATGTGAATATGTACAGAAACATACACACTTTCTAGCACTCAAGATAAGCATCACTAAATTTAAAATAGAATTGGTACATGTGAGTACCTGAAGAACCAAGTAACTAAAACCCTACATACAAGATAATAGCCAATAACCAAAGAAAACCATTTATAGTTACTTAAAATCTTTTAAAATCTGCTTGATGTTCCTCAACATCCAGTGTTGCTTAATATTCACGAGTAGAGCATGAGAACAAGCAGGTACCAAAAAAAAGAGAGGGAAAAAAAAAAAGCTTAAAGATCATTCCACTTAAGTCAAATGGACTTTTATTTGCAATTTCAATGAAAGAATGACCAAAGAGACATCCTACACCAACAGTAATACCTAAACAATAACATGTCTAAAACCTGTATCTTAAGGATACCTCCATGGAAAATATGCTGTATAGCAAGGGTTATCTCAGCCCCTTTTTCACTGAACACATTAAAAAATTATACCAAGTACCCAAGACTGGTGGGGGCAAAAGAGGAGGAGAAAAAAAGGAGACTTCACTGCTTTCAGCTCCTTCTCTGGCCTGTCACGTGTTGGGTTATCAGATGAACTGTTACTCTGAATAAATGCATAAAAGCTAAAACTCTAAAAATGGGATTTTGGGCATAGGTAAGCAATGTCATCTGAGAAGTAAAATGCTCTAAAATGGTCATGTCTTAACAGCCCATCACGAATTGGAATGTTTATTTTCCAGACTAAACACCTCTTCTGTGGTCAGAGCGTTTTCGTAGCAAAACTACTATCCTGGAAACATTCTAATTAAATAAATGTCATGTTGTACTTCCAAAGGGGCTGAAGAAAGTAATTCACTGTCAGTATATAAGTATTATTTATTTAAGTGATCACATGGTTACACAGGGATAGCAAATATAGATATCATACATAATTACTATCTTCATCTGAATTCTGCCAGAACAAACCAACTTACAGAAGGCTTTACAGAATTTCTGCAGGTATTGGAAGTATCATCTGGAAGTCAGTGCTATTTGTTCACACATAGGATATATTTTGGAAAAGCAAAGACAAGACTGTAAGAAAATTACAGTCCACAATAATACAACCTCCCCTTACATACATGCAGAAATCAAAATCTGAATTAAAAGTATTAAATACAAATTTATTTTGTTTTAATTCATGATCATTACAAGGATAACACAACAGAAGAAGGAAATTTGCTTCAGTAAAACTTCAACGGGAACAAGAGCAAAATGCAATAGGCCAAACTCACCTTCTGGAAATTCTTTTGAAGCTGGCTTGAAATAAGCCTTCCATGAAATGTCTGTGGTCCCTACAAAGGACTTCGGTCATCAACTGTAACAACATTGGACTCTGAGACAGTTCTAATGCATCCAGAAACTGAAAAGAACCAATACATAAAATAAAAATCTTGCGAGGAGTTACACTGGATCAACTCTATTCCATCTAATTTTGTAATCGTTCTCAACAGCAATCAGAAGCAGCTGCCCAGAATATGTGCATTTAATGTATATCTATAAGTCAAGCTTCTGGGTAAAGACAAAACTTAGAAATACACAAACTTATTTCCTTAAGTGAAGTGAGAGTACCTCTTCCATTCCAAATGAAATGTTTTTCCTTGACATCCAACCTTCATGAGTGAAGTACTTCACTGTGGAGTACAGTCTGCCCTACTACAGATTAAATAGAATATAATTGTTCCAAATGTAACGGACAATCACAATTAAAACACCTCGCCATCATTTCTGAAGAGGGATGTGCAGGACCACATGCTGTGTTTCAGTCCTGGTAATGCTAAACTTTGAGATCAACTCTAGAAATAAGTACAGATAAATCTGATCTAAATCATGACTGGAAAAATCCTGCCATCTAAAGATGGTAAAATACGCTGAAAACATTTTCTCTACACACAGTTCCCTTAGGCTTTTAATCACATGCTCATTTGTTAAAAATACTGACCTTCTTGGTGCAGTCTACATAGTTATTGTGCTTCAAAGTTCCTTTGGGAAACTCATCTGACCTCATGGGAAAGTTGAAAGCTATAAGTTGGTCAAGAGCATTCTTAAGGTCATTAAGTTTTTCTCCAGTCAGATTAGTGAAGAATGGAAGAATAATCATTGCTTGGCTCTGAAGAAAAGATAGGCAGTTTCGCATACATACACACACAAACACAAATATGCTCTAACTAAGAAGCAAACTGAACAGGTCTGCAAAATAATCAGCTGTGGCTCTACTGACTGACATCAGTGTATTGATAAAGATACGTTATGTTGCTGCTCATTTTTAAGGTGCTAGTTCAGAAAACAGCTTTGCTCACTGCTAAGAAGGAGTTAAAAATTAATTAATATATCATGGCTGACTTGGCTATGAAGACGACTTCACTTTCTTTTAAGCATCCATTATCACTGAAGTCACTGATCTAACGCACTATCCTGGCTGCGCTCTTGGCAGCTACAGCAAGACCCCAAGCTTTATTTCTTTTGAACACAGAAGAAAGCACAACAAAATATGCCTGGTTATGGACAGAGTAGTAACCATGAAATGCTGCTTTGAAAGTAGAAAAAGTCTAGTCTTCTGACCCAAAGCTACTACTCTAGCACCTTTTGCAACTTCCACTTTCAGCATGCAGTACTTCATCTCCCTCTCTTGACCAAGCCACACATAGCAGTTAATTCATTAGTACTGGCCTCATGCTTGCAGAAATGGATCTTAAAATCATCAGAGGTTCATAATTTGACATTTAGGAAGTGCCGGTCCTTGCTGAAAGCCTGATTAGCTGCGATTTCTCAAATGAGCACTTCAGAGCTCTAAACTATAAGCAACCGACAAGATTATTTTTCAAAAAAAACTGCATGCAGGGCATGAAAAAAAAGAACATCTAAAAAATAAAACACAAAATCTGTGACGTTGTTTTCTGCCTGAAGAACAAACATGATGATTTACAATTTTAAGGATGCTGAACAGAAGAATAAACATGGAAGTGATAGACACGTTACTGGGCAAACTAAGGCAAAATTTAAGCCCAGTAACAGGGGTTTTCATCTACCACTAGTATTCTAACTTTGCGGGGAAAGTGGGAGCCACTGAAGTGAGAAATTTACCTTAAGATTTAAGTCCAAATTCTGATCAATAAGTAGACTAGTATAGGTACTAAAAACAGCTGTAAATGCTTCGTGATTTGTATTGAAAGAAACTGCAGAGTCAATCTGGAAGGAAAGAAAAAATTAAAAATTATCATTTTTTAACCAGTCAGAGAGAACCTTCTACTAATGAGCAGCAAAATACATAAGCCAAAGAATTATTTGTTTCTAAAAAAATATTATATCAGTAGAAAGTACATACACAAGTGATTTTGGTTTTAAAAGGACCATCAACAAGAATTACATAAAGCTCCTACACAGTACAAATAAAATCATATGCTGGATATTTTCAAGCGCAACACCAAAAAAAATTAAGCCCCTCTCGAAGTGAGATTTCCTACTGGTCACTTCAGCGCAAGCTAATACAGCAATACAGTTCACATTATGTATCCTCAAACGTACCTTCAGAAGACTTCAAGTCTAAAATAATTTATTATAAAAACTCATTATTAAAAAAAAAAGAGATCTAGGCACTTTTCTGTATATAGTTCGTGCATGGTTACTTCTGCAAATTCCTAAAACAAACAAACAAACAAACAAAATCCCAAGACAAGTAGATAAGCTCTGTCTTCCAAATAAAGAAAGAAAAAAAGACTGAAAACCCCAAAGTAATGCACAGAAGTTAAAGGTCTTTGAAATAAAGTCCTTTCTGCAGTCTGTTGATCTGAGTAAAACTCCTCTATTGTGAACTTTCTGGATGCCAGAGCTTACTCCCTGGCACTTGTACCTGTTCTCCAGAAGGAGAACAGACAGCTAGAACATGAGTCAGTGGTTAAAAAAAAGGGAGGCGGGGGGAGAAGAGAAGTCTTTTTACTTTGCAAATAAAACATACCATACACTGATATTGTCCAGCCTTTTTTTTTTTTTTTAAACACAAAACCTCAAAATACCTTTTAAGATGGTGAAATCAGAAGAGATATTTGGATTTTATGACACAACATATACCTGTAGAACTTTTGCCAACAGGGTCAAGACAGCCATTTTGCTCTCAGGAGCAGAACCTTTGGCCCACCAACTGTCAAGTCTCTTCCAGTTTCTCAGTACAGCTGTGACCAGCTTCACTCCTTGCTGCTTGCGTATGGTGCGCTCCCTAAAACTCTGATCTAGCATGCCATTCAAAATGCTACCAACCTGGAAAGAAAAACAATAAAGATGTTCTTTCATTCTAAATTAAATCATTAGTTTAATGATTCTCTTCACTGCTACGGGCAAACGGGAAAAAGTCATCAGAGATTCAGGAGAGTGGAACACCTGGCCAGAATATTCACATTGAAAGAAAAAGGAAGAAAAATCTGTTCAACGCAGTCTTCTTCTCTTTGACTTGAGATATCTGCCCTAAGAGAACTTAAAATTAGAAACTTCTTCCTCTTCTTTGACTTCGTAGGAAGGCTAAAGTTAGGACCTCAAATTAGGAGATCTTAACTGTATCCCACCACATCCCTAACTGTAACTACACTTAGTGGAAAGTAAATGCCAAATTAAGTAATTTTGAAAATCCTACCCTGATGTGTTAGTAAGCTTAAGTTTACTTTATTGCGTCACATAGTAAAGCTGGATTTAAATCTCTGGATACAGGAAAAGTCACTCTGCTGGAATTTAAAAGCACACACTGCAAAAGGAGATTGCTTGCATATTTACATCTGTTTCACTCAGAGTAAAACGCAGCAATTCCCTCCCATACCTTCTGGTTAAAATAGAGAAATACATAACCCAAAGTAACTTTAAAGATTAACATTTAAAATATTATTTTGCACAGAATTGAGAAATAGAAGAAACTGTACGTACGCTAGTTTATTTGGGTACCTTCTGAAATGAAAAATAAAACATGGCATAGAGGATAGGAACTAAGCAAGTTTCAAGCCCTTTTCTTCTCAGATTCACAGTTTAATGAAAAATGTGATTAAAATCAGTAATCACTAACTTCCTAACCTGAATTCTGCATGCTCCTCTCTAACAGTTGGTTATTGTAAAATTGATCAACGCCATCAACTTTGGGATTTCATCGGATTTTGGAGGGGTACAATAAAAAAATACTTCTTTTTTTTTTCTTCCTATACATCAAAATGAGCACATAAAACTAACGAAGAAATAACTCATCAAATGTAATCCACGCTAAAGTAGAAAAAAGCAATAAGGGGAAAAAAAGTCAGGCAAGGAAAAACATGGTTTTGGACAAGAGACAACTGTAAAGCGTTAGCTTAACCTCTTTTTGGCTAAACATGCACATAAATGAAGTAGAGACTTTTAACACTATTGCCATATGTAGACAGTGTAAGTTTATAGCTTTTTGTTTATCAGAGACACCTTTTAAAGTCAATCTATTTTGACATGCTACGCACCAGAACCACTAGCAAGTCATCACAGGACCCAGCCTTTTAAAAACACATATACATCTCTCTACATCAAATTAAACAATCTCTGATATTATCAAAAGTTACATCCCCTGTGTTTTAAAATGTTGTTTCGAAGCAACACCTTTAAACACCTTAGCTTTAAAAAAAAATACTATTACTTTTAAAATGGCGATCTACTTCCCTGCACATCTTTATAAGCAAGAGAGAAAGTGAACTTTTGATCTTTTTTTTTGATCCTTCTGTTTTCAGCAGCACTGATAGAAGGTTTCCCAACTATCACAGGCCTCCTTCATGGACTTAAGGCTATATCTACGTAAGTAAGCCATGTGGACCAACAGGAGAAAATCTGTAGAGCAAAACAAGCGGCGCTGAGCCTGAATACACGACACCTACTCTGTATGCGTTTCAGGTCATAGGGGTGTGCATATGTGTTTGTCTTTTTTTAATACTTTGGTCTAATTCTACTCTGGTCCTGTGGACTGAACGCCCATTAGTGGTTGGAGTTCATTTTCCAGTTTAGTTTTGTCCAAAACAAATCCTGTCCTCAGGCTCTCAGACCACCCTACAATGAAAATCAAAGCACAGTAAATGGGGACAACCAGACTCGTTCCAAAAGGATATTATTGATCTGAAGTACTGAACAAAAAAAATCCTGAAATTCATAGATTTCAGGATGGGTAATAGGTAAGCACCTTTCACTTAGTTTGAAGTGAGACTGTAGAGTGCCTAAGTTATGCCAGGTCGTCAGAAAGCATGAAATAGTGCCAGTGAACCTTGACAAAAATCTCAAAACCCTATCAGTCCAATGCTATCCAAACAAAAGTGCCACCAAATACACTTTTTCCCCCTCTACACACTTTCAGTTACATTCCCCTTTACGGGGAAAAAAAAAAAAAGATAGAAAAAGTGTTACTTTAATATTTTCATTTGACTGTGTCCTTTTAAAGAAGTCTAATACCATTTGGGGATTGCTGACAGACGATTCCATAAGCTGGAGTATGATCACATCGAGGTTTTTTAGCAGTTGTTCGTTAATGGTTTCTGAGAAGAGGCTGTAGAAATACTCTCCATGGGAGAAATTTACCAGGTTCTTCCGTGATGCTCCTAATAATGGCACAGTTAACACCACTGTGTTCAACAGCAGACTCACCAGTTCCTCACACTGTGAAAATTAAGGTAGGAAGACAGAATTATCCCAAGCACACTAAGTTCCACTGATTTCCTACAAAAGCAAAGGAGCTGTTTTATGTAACCAGTAGTATAAAACTAGAAAGCATAAGAATAAAGCACAAACAGAAAATTGAAATGTTTCTTATTTACAATTTCCCTTTGTCACTCAATTAAGCCAGAGAATGCTTACAGTTCCTCTGTAGGACTACAAATAAAACGTCAGCCTCTTTTAACCCAAATATATGTTCTGTTTGTTCTACATTGTTCCTGAAAATAGAAGGGTTAAGATTTAAGTATTAAAAACAGGAGAACCGCACCCTACCTGGCCATCAATAGCAAAGGCTAGCTGCAGGAGTCCATCGGCTAATCGCTTCTTGCTGATGTCTAATGATGGAAGACACAGCCTTTCAGCCCCAGGTGCAATGCCTTTATAAATAACTGAAAGAAGCTTACAACCAAGTGAGAAATGAGGCACTTCATCCTATACAAATAAACAAAAGGTGACAGTGAATCAAGGAGGACTATAAGATGAAAAACAACAGAAAGGCCTTTCAGTCCATCTCTCTAGCTAAACACTTCACTCCAGGCCATTTTCTGGTAAAGCAGTGAAAGTATACCAAGACACGATACACTCCTAATTGAATAGCAAGCTTTTTAGCCAGACAACCCTGATGTGCAAAAAGTTTCACAGGTTATTTGTGCTTCTGGGCAGTGTTTTTCATGCTTTTGTTCAGAATAAACCACTGCTCATGTGAAAAACCTCTAAAAGATTCTGATCTTCCCTCAAATATTTTTCAGACGAACAACACTACTACAGAAATAAAATGAATAGCTTACTAAGAACGGGTGTGCTGCAAAAGGGAAGCCATGCGGTTACTCGAATATCCCTGTCCTGTAGTCACAGCTCAATCTTTGGTCTAAATGTAAAGGATGGATGTTACTGAAGCCAAGGGCAAACACCCCACAGAAATTAAATCTTTTGTTACTTGCTAAATATAGCCTTGTTCACCAGTTGGCAAATTTTCTCAGTCTTTCTGGCTGTTCTACAGCCTATTTTCCTTCTGTGGCCGAAAGTGAAATAGAGATTGATCAAAAGCTTGCTCTACTGAGTAATAGCCTACACCCGCTTCCCAACTGCAATGTGCTGCCATTCAAAATCACGGATTTAACTAAAAGAGCACCTGAAAGGAAGAACCCAGCTGCAACAGCACAGCGGGCAAGAGAAAAGTTGCATACAATTTTTTTTTTTTTAAATGTATTCCTTTTCGAATTTCCCTCATCACTTTGAATGTCCTCTGTTTAAAAATTCAAATATCCTATAACTTCGAAGGTTAATAAATTCTGATTTTTTTGTGCTTTCAGTCTTGTGAAACTCGCTGCAAGGAAAAGTTTTAGGTGGATTCCAGTTGCCTCCAGCTCCTGGCCATTGGAGAAAGACAAATGTAATTATGAAGATAGTTCAGATCTCAGTATTGATGATACTCAGATTTGTTCAATAAATATAAAATATTTATTTCTGATCCCATTCAATGCCAGCTCCTCACTGCTGATCTAATTTTACACAATTTCTTCATCTGACCTGTTCCTTGTTTTCATATTGTCCTTTTATATGTGAAAAGCTCTTTACTGTGTAAAAACATTCACCTTTTTTTTTCCTCCGAATAAGCAATTACCTGATTGTGAAGAACAGAATGAAGCAGGCCAGCTTTCTGGAGTTGCTTGCAGGCAGAAAGGATAGCACTATACTTGACTTGATCAAAACGTGCATCTGAATTAAACAGATCAACAGAACAAAGGTCCTCAAGGCTAAACACAAGAGAGAAGTAAAAACATCACCTTGTGGGGAGCTTCATCTGCAACCATACACAACATCATTTACTTTCTGTTTCTCACAGTGAGTGGCATTTGCTCTGCCTTCATGCTTATCACAAAGGTCCTACCTACCTTTGCGGTGTGAGTCTTTCTTTTAAGCTTAGTTTCAAAGACTCCTTATAGGGAGATTTCATCAAAGCTTTCATGAGTCTCACTGAGATATCCGGGAGGTTTTTCATGACTTGCACATCAGCTGTGTTAAAGCCTACATGCGATGGATCACACACAGTCATCACCAGAAGTTCTATAAAGCTTGCATTAAGCAATTCCTTCTCAAGTAACTAAAAAGAATAAAACATTAAAGTAGAGGAAAGTTTCATTTTTAAATCCATTTAGATTTCCCTATTTTATTTTTAATTACTTATTCATTACTCCTTATATCTAAAATAGAACAAAACACGTAACAGTAACTATTCTCATTAAGCGACATTCTCCTCCTCTATGAAACATCTAACTTTCAATGAATCATGCTAATAGGCAGAAATTAAGTATCTAATACATACTGTATACATCATCACACCAAATTGCACATAGGATCTTTTATGTCCACGCAGGCCTGTTTTAGTCTTGATTATACATCCGCAATTATCTCAAAAGCCAAATGCACACCTTTCTGCACTCTATTAACAATTTACTTAAAACAAGAGACAGTTAGGATCTGAAAACTAAATCTGGCGGTGTTAATTTCATAAGAGACTCATAAGTACTTAACTATATACAGTATAATACAGTTTATATTACATCCCAGCTAGGCAAATGGAGAGATTTGAATATTTATTCTGAATTCAAGAAGGAAACGCCACAGTCTGCCTTTTAGGCAACTACTACCTCCACATACTGAAGGCCATCAGATGTCCTGCCAGAAATACTCATTACAAGAATTAACAGCGATTCATAGTCAGTACCCTTACTGGAATGTATAGAAAATGTTAATTCTTCCAATTAAAACTACATCAACCATTACAACTCAGCTGTATAATATAGTTCTTTTCCCTAACATCCAAAGACACTAACAGTTCATCATGCTTAATCATCAATTTGAATTAAAGCACCTCTAAAGATGATGCTCTCCAGTAAACTAACCTCACACCGAATGAACAAATCTTTAACTAGATATAAAACTACAGATTTCAGTGCCTACCTTCCAGAAATCCTGCTGGCAAGATTCCAGGACCATGGTAACAAACTCCATGCTTCGGACTATAATTGTACATTTGCTGTAATTATACACTTCTCTTTCTTGTGGACTGAACACGCTGCCTTTCAAACCACAGTCAAAGCACTGCTCTGCCGCCTGGATGTCATGCAAAGCAATAGTTTCAAGGAAGAACCGCACAGCTTTTAAGAATGAAGATCTTTCATTTACACCTAAGAAGAATTATACTAAGTTGAAACCAAAATGCAACTCTCAACTATTTTAAACCTTTGAATAATTTGGCCTTATACTAACTGAATCCAACAAAAAATTTACAGTACTGTTTTAAACAAAGACAAAGATGACAATGACAGACAGGCAAAACTTCACATATGAAGTAACTATCGAACTGCACTGTCAGTGATCTAAAAAAGCATTTTGTTCAGAGCTGCATGAATAATTAAAAGAAATACTTTTTGATATAGATCCAATCGCTACATCAGATCTTTATCAAAGGTATTATTATCCATACTATTAAAATTTAAATTTGAGGCATTTAGACCTGATACAGTTGAAGCATTGGAAAGACAACATATATGGGGCTTGAAGTGAGAAGGGGACTTCTGTCATTGCTTTCTGATAGCGCCCTCTAGACATTACTAAAGGGCAGGTAAGGGGCTTTGGAAAGGATCAAAAAAAAAAAATTGAACAAACTATAGATCTCTTCAGCAGAGGGAGATGTAGCTGTACCGCACAGTTTCTGAAGATAGAATTCAAACCTTTGTAAGAGTTTGTAAAATTCATCAACTCTTCACTTAAGAAAAAAGCTTCAAGTCCAAGTAGGGAAATAATCTTAGAGTGAGCTTGTGTACCAGACATGAATGACCCTAATGCCAACAGTTAATTGCTTACCCAGTATTTCATGAGGTTTGATCATTCGTAACTCAAAGAATGTATTGTAGCAGTCCAGTGCTGCTAAGAACATATCCATCCACTGCATGACAGTCCGTAAACTAAAGGGTTCCTGAATACCATGGAGAGTTGGCCGAGAAAAGATCCCGGACGGACTATCGGCATCCCTGCCACCTCCTTCAAATTTGTTAATGAGGAAAGAGCAGCCTTTTTCTTTTAGAACATCAGCCAGCCAAGAAGATGGAGATTTGTTTCCTGATAGACATACAAACATAAATCTAAATTCTCAAGGGAAAAAAAAAAAAAACATTTCAAGCCAGCAGGGAATTTAGAGGCAAATGGACGGACATGCTCAAACTTTCGTTTGTGTTTTAATCTTCAGAGTGGATTAACGTATGAAGACCTTGTTTCTGCCTTCTAGAAGAGAAGGTACTGGTCTAGCCTTACCCATACTGTTTAAGTTACCCACAAGGAAGAGGCCGGTATGTGAAACACTCTCACTGGTTCTCAATCAGCAAATATCGCCCTTGCAGCTGGATGCAACAGCAGCTCTGGGCCTGCAAGTTCTCCTTCCTGATTGGAAGGAAGTCTGCAATAAAAACTTCTTCCCTACCCACATAACCACCCAAAGCCCTGAGGTTCCTACAATATTTGATCCCAAACATGAGCAACTACTTAGCTTTTATTTAATGCCAGTAGGTGAATATATATCTATTTTAAAAGCGATCTTCCTAATATGGACTACTTAATACTTTCCAAAGAAAATATACGGGGAAGAAACACACAGTATTTCAAAAGCAATGATGGTACACAGTGACTTACAATACCTGGTAATAAAGGAACAAATTCATAGAAGAGCTCCATAGATTTATGCCGGCACTCTGTCTCAGGTCTCCCACACTGCACTAAAAGCCACATGACAATGTCCAGAAGACACACTGTCTTAGTAGCTGGAAATCCCCTGCACAAAAATATGAGAGATTAACAGTCCTCCATGATATCTACCAAGAAGCCATACTGTTCCAAATAAAAATCAAAATGACCTATGAGTATTCGGAATGTCCTTTTATCTATCTAACCAAAATAAGAGAAAGGGAAGAAACAGATGGGCCAAGCCATTTGTACTACAGGGAAAAGGTCTACAAGCACAGTTTACATCTCTTTCCTTTCTCCCCCCTCTACTCTGGATCTGCAGAGTGCTGAGTTTGTGGCAACAATTTAAAAAGCAGCATCGGGTCTCTTTCCTTCTCTTTGTATCACTCAAAGAGAAAAAAATTGAGATTAAAAATTAGTTAAGCCCTGCACCGTTTTTCCTCTCCCTAATTATCCAGTCTCTTAATTACACTCTGCGACACATCAATAAGCCAACACTCATACACTACTTGCTATCTGCTTAGGATAACAAAATTATATAGGTGGAAAGGATGTCTCTAGTCAAACCTCCTGCTCAAAGCAGCGTTAGTTAAGAGGTGAGAGAAGGTTACAAAGGGCTTCTTCCAGTGTGATGTTAACTCTATTCTCGTTTCCACCTTCTTCACTACACCTCTTTAACTCCTGATCATCTTGTTGCAGCTTGTCCTGCCTCTGCTAACAGAGCAATGAAACTAACCACAGCAAGGAAAAAAGACTTGGAAGAAGTTTCCTCCAAAGGCTTCATAATACCAGTGCTGATAAACATTGCTGTGAGGGAAACACGGTTTTCTTTTCCTCTTGTCTCTGCAAAGCTAGAGCAAGCGCTCTGTTCTGAGTTTACCACACTGGAATCAAGAATAACCATTATGGTCCTCTTTCCAATATCACGTTCAGTATTTCTATCAGCGGTTCAACAGACGTATCAGGAGGAAAAGAACTTCTTCCGTGATGCTTGGGGAACATAAATCTGCATTAATAACAGTCATAGGATGAATTTCCCATTCAAAATGCTAAGTCTTTAGTAGAACCACGTGCATGGTTAACTAAAATGCAATATTTAAAAACCCAAAAATGGCAAACCGTGGTACTCGCCGTTCCCCTGCTCTGTTTAGAGAAGGTGCTTTATGCTTGATTATGCGTTTCAGATGATTAATAGTATCACAACATTGTTGAGTGGTACCTGTCAAGAGAGAAGTGACTATAAATAAATGCTAGTAACTTGAATTAATGAACTGAGATGTTATCACTGTACAAATGGTGCAAGAGACTGACACCCAGGATAATGTCTAACACATTCACTGTCTGTGCATCTGCAGTAAATTTTTCAAGAGCACAGAACAAGATCATAAAACAGCAGTAAGGTCACCATGACCTGAACTAACTCTGAAGCCTCTGCTGTAAAACTGTGTTCTACCCTCTGCACGCACATTTAGAGAAACTAAACTTTTTCCCTAAGAATATTTCTTTTGGGGCCACTTCTATCGTATTCCAGACTCTTTCTTGGAAAGAAATAAAGCTTTGCAACATCCGATTCTGGCTTTACGTTCTAATCGTTATTACTTGATGAAAGTCAGAGTTGGAGGAGGGGAGGGAAGGAAGGCCGGTTTACTGAAGATTCGCTCGTACGATGGAAAAGGTCACAGATTCTTCATGCAACTCCATACTGGTGTAAAGAAGAATGACAACGCAACCATCAGAGGGTATTACAAGTAATCGAAATCTTCCACAGACTATAGAGAAATGCCATTTTTGAGCAATGTGCTTGTTTTAAAGAAGTGGACTTTGAGATTGTCACCAAGCTACAATTTTTACATTGCAAAACTGCACAACTGGACTCAAGTCAGAAGCACCACTAGCATTCTCAGTATTACAATAACACATTTATGAAATGGTTCTTTCTCCTGAGCACAGAACAAAAATCTGGCACCATCATTACATTGCATGGACTTGTTTCAAGCAGCTACTGACTAAAAATCAAATGACCTCTCTGTCAACAATGTAAAATAATACTTCCGTTGCTGCAAAAGTAAATACACTTTTCCTACAGTTACAGATTCATAGTTTAGTTTACTTTTTTTTTTAATTCAAGATTCAATAGGACAGCTTTCTTCTTTATTCCATAATTAGTTAGCTGTACCTCACCTAACGATTTCTCATCTGCATGGGTTAAGGCCAGACTTTCCAGAAATACGACCAATGCTTCAAATACAAACTGCTCCACCAGAGAATTTTCCTCCCTTTAAAATTAGGAATAAATATGATGAGAAATATGAGCAGAAGAAACACTAAACATGAAATTCTAATAAAAATATAGAAACTAAAACACTGTAGTATTATTTGATAAACAACAACTGCACAAAATATTTGCATAAAAAATACATCTAGACCACTATAAAAAAAAAAATCTAACATAGGAGTGAAGATTTAGAAACTGCCTTTAAAAGACATAAATAACTTCCCATAAACTTGTGATAGAAATTAAACTTCTATGCTCTCCACCTGCAGAAAGACCCCCAAATTATAATTAAATTATAATTAAATTATAATGTATTGTTATTATAATTAAATTAATTCAGTGAATATTTTGAATAATGCAATTTTACAGTTACTATGTACATGAGCAGAACGTGTGTCAGTAGACGAACATTTGAGTTCTGTATTCTATTCCTTTTTATCTCCTTGATAACCTTTAATTAAGGTTAGTTACAGTTCCAAGCTCTGTTTGCCCACCTAAATTCTCTGTAGATGCTGTTAAAAGCAAGCGCTGCTCCTAGCCTCTTGAAAGCACTGGGATGAAGAGCAAGACTATACAATCGTTTAAAAAGAGACTTGGTGTTCACTGGGCTTTTCTCCTGCTGTTTCGGTGTTGTCTGCTTAATAGACCATTTCAAAAATTCTCGAACACACTGACCACAGAAATCTCTCAGAGTGCTGTCAACTGGATCTGTTATGCCACCCTGAAATTACACAATATCATTCATTACAAGAATGAAAAAGGCCATTGTCTCAGTGCAGTACTAGAGCAGCCTGTTAGTACTGTTTTGCTTGTATGTCAAAAAGAATTTAGTCTCAGTTCCTTGGAAATAATATGGCTTCAAAATTAGTACTCTTCCAGGGAAAGGCAGCATTTTCAGCCATCAGAGCACTGGATTAGGACTTAAACTTCTGTGTTGCTATTCCCATTTCAGCTATGGACCAGTCTAGGGGCCTTGGCCAAGTGACTTCATTTTCTGGCGAGCTAGTTTCCTCTGCTTTAGAACATGCATGACAACATCAGCTTCCTTTATAAAAAGTACTATGAAAGCTCCTGGCTTGTCTTGCCTCCAGCAACTCCAGGACAGTGCAAAGAGCCAGTTTTAAATTTAAAACATTTGCCCAATGAAAACAAAGAACCTTAAAGGAAAATGAGTGAGGAAAAAAGGTATTTCAGTACTTCCTTCTACACACTGATCATAAAAACTGTCTTGCACTAATCTTATAAAGACTCTAAAGATACTAGCTGCATTTTGAGACTGTCAAAGAAACGGAGAGGTTAAGAAACAGTAAAAGGTCATAAAATTGGTAAACTGGTTTCCTTCTTCACAAATAAGGCATCACATTTGTTTATGTGCTCCTGGTTCTTTCAAGAGTAAAATGATACTATTTAAAAAGAATGCCACATAGTACGGAAAAAAAGAAAAGGAAGACTTATTTCTTACCAA